CGCACCGCGAAGGTCACGCAGGAGTTCTTCCTCGTGCATGCACCATTGGTTCGCCGTCGTCGAAGTCTGCCAAGGCTCATCGGCGATTTGTAGATCTGTCATTAAATGTATATTTCATGCATCACGAAAGCAATAAGTTGTCAATGCGTCGCTTTGGAGTATGATATGACAAAGGTAAACGAGTACTAGTACAGTACAATGTATGTCAGCGAATACTAACTGTTAGCGGGACTTGGACTCCGTAAAGTTTATGGCATTGCTATTGGGTAAATTGGAGTGTTTGCTGGCCCCCACCAACCAGCCGTACGTGTAAAAACAACAAAGCGTTTTTGCGAGCCACTTTGATTGTACTTGTTGTACTTGGAACCTAGCGCCGAACTGATGTGCAATTTGTATCGCGATTTATGTATACTCTAATCAGGTTGGCTTTTTTTAGAATGGTTGCATATCTTGTCCGGATCGAATCCACACACGAGAGTAACATGGGCCAGACACTGAGCTGCTGCCGCTCGAGCGAGGATGAACATGTCGACAAGCCAGCGACTGCGAAGGTGCGTGGCCAGACCATGTCGATGGACAGCGATCCATATGTACTGCTCCTGCGGCCATCGCGAAACCTTGCCGAAGATCCAACAACAGCCAACGACGTCGTCAAGCCTGCACGTCAACGCGCTACAGTGATTGTGCGCGGACCGACTCGTGGCCATGTGCGCAGTGCCAGTCTCGAAACCTTCGAGCTCGAGGTACTGACTAACGCGGAAAACATCGTTAACAACAACGCGCCGTTGAGTGAAAGCGACCTTTTGCTTCCACTACTGTCTCTCAAGCGTCCGCCAGCAGTACTTCTCTCGCCAAGCGTTTCGTGGGAGACTCGTTCTTTTGACGAATGCCCCAGTGTCGGGGACGACGGCGAAGTGCGTGCTTGTGGCACTTCCAACCAAGACGAGACGCCAGCATCATACACCGTGGCTGTCACTCGCTTCTTCCCGATAGAAGACAAGTTTGAGTTCCACGTGACGGTTTTCGACGCAACCGGCGACCGCAAGCTCAAGCTCATTCGTGACCATGTCCGCTGCAAGCGCTACCATAGTTATCTGGAAGATACTGCAAGGCGCCACCGGGTATCCTGCCCCGTGCTGCCGCGCACACAAAAGCAAGACCGAATTCACGGGCGACAGCTCATGGAAATTTACATTGCTGCCGTATTAGCGTCGCCCGTGCTACGTGATGCAAGGTGCTCGCTTAAATACTTTCACGTGCTGCCACCGACGAAGCCCAAAACATCGCCGTCGGCGAAGCGCAGCCCAAGTGAGAAGCGCCAGCCGTGGCGCAACTATGTCCATTCTCCAAGCCACAAATAATGTTCTTGTATGCTTTGTGCGTGGCATTATGATGTCCACTCTCCTGCGCTCTTTTTCGCGTACCTCGAAGTAGCCCTTCGCGACATGGCGGCAACTGCAGGTGTCCCTCGCCGACTTCTCTGCTCCACCGTAGCACTTTAGACGCTCCAGTGCTGCACCGTGGGCCGGTCGCCACTGACGACGCTGCCCCATGTGCTCAACGACTATCTCTCCCTCGTCCCGTCTTTCGCAAAGCGCCTCAGGAACCGCGACAATCTCAAGGAGCTCACCGCCATGGCGCTGAACAAGGAGCTCTGGAGCGTGCTAACCGAGGCAATCGTTGACGCTTGCCCCGACGTCCCCATAGACGCACGACGCTGTCGGATACTTCCTTGCACGTATGCGACAATCCTCCTGCATAGCGCTCACAGCCAGTACTGCTGTGTTGATTTACGCGAATAAACGGCATATATATGAAAGTGTTCCGCGTTTTCTTATTACAAATACCTCGCTTACGCAGAGACTAGCAATCTCCTTCTTCACTCACTCGCTGGGTCGTGGCTGCGCAGGCGATGGCACGGGGGCTCGTCTTGCTCTTCTGTAGTCGCGTTGGGGCGCTTGTGGGCGCGAGTGAGGCCCATGGTGACACGGTTCCTAAAGGCCTTCCAGGCTTCGCCATCGGCGGCAAAGCTACGCAGTTTCTTGAGGTCATCGAGAGACACCAGCGACTGAGGCGGCGTCAGCGACTGGAGGTCACGATGCAGTACGATCGGCAATATGAGCTTGGCGCAGCCTAAAAAACGGGGCGTCTCGGGCGGGGCACAGAATAAACGTCATATCTATCTACTATCTACGATGTCCGCTATTACTACACGGATATTTTGCGAGGCTGCGGTGGATCGCAGAACGAAACATAGAGCGCACAATTTGTTTTCCAATGAAGTATATATCGTGCATATCATGGAGTCAAGTTGTCCCCCAAGGCTCCAAGTGTAGGACAATGTATCGCGCAGCAATCGGAGTTGTGTGAGAAGCTATTCGCGTGATCGCTTGGGCGTAAGCGCAATCGACGCAATGTTGCCATCGATGTGAGGAACCATGTCTTGGTTGCGGTCACAGTAAAGCAGGCTCGCCACGCACACTTGTTGCAGCACAAGTCGCGCATCTGAGAGCGAGTCTCCAGTCTTGTTCATGTCGATACTCAACTGCACGGATTTGCCCCGGACCAAATCGGACCGAATGGTCGCAAGGAGTTGGTCTCTAAAACCGGTCTCTCGCGTGAACTGGACGTAGCTGAGCTGCTGCGAAATGGTTCCTTCTGAGGCCGTGCCGCAGGGCGTACCATCTACATGTACGACACTTTCTTGTGGATTCGCGCCCAGTTTATCGTCGCGAGCTGGCTCGTTGTTGTTGTTGCTCATGATCGCGGCGCCGCGCTTCAGCCGGTTTTCCTCCTTGAGTAGAAGCCACTTTCTGTATTGGTAGGTTCGTTTGAGAAGCGCCTCCGACGCGATATCATGAGCACGCTGGCGACCACGGTACGAAGCTTGAATCGCAGCCACAGACATGAGGGCATCCCTGGTTACTGTGGTTTGTTTTGGCTCTTCTCGCTTTACTGTGGCGGTGGTGGCCGAGCTGCAATAAGTTCTTGGCTCCTTCATTTGCGCAGCTTTTGCGTTCCATGCTTTCAGCATCGCCTTCTGCTCCGTCCGCGTTATGGCAGCAAACTCCATCGAGGCTAAATATACACCGTTTGGTTGTGCTTGCGTGCAATTAATAAAACCGCCACACATTATTCCACACACCATGAGGGCACACTGCGAAACGACGTAACGTGATTGAGGCGAAGCGCAAAACCCTTTGCGATCAACGTCAATATGTAAGTCTTTGATATAACAAACTTGAGAAAGGTAAACGCGTGGTAAGTATTTCTTTCGTTGTATAGTGCATTTGTCTCACATTCGGCGCAGCGTCTGGATCGGTGGACTCTCGAGGCTAAACTCGGTCCAGCCGCGATGTCGAACCCACGCGCGAACGCGAAAACAGTACCACGAGAGCGCCGAGAGGTTGGGAACGACGCAAGTTCGGCTCGGGAGCCTGTCGTCCACGATCGTCCACGTTCCTTTCGTGGCCGCACTGGTGCCAAGCTGGTCAAGTGGACTATACGTTGGGAGCGGGCACATGTGCACCTCAAAGTGCTCTTTCATATCGTGGCGGCTATTCACGTCGGCTTGGTCCATCCACGTAAGCGTTAGCGAGTACGATGTCTTGGCGACGGCAACTGGTGGCGTTGGCGGCAAGAAAGCTATGGCATTTACCAAATAGTTACTTTGGTACCACAAAGCGGATGTACCGTGCGTCCAAAAGGCCAGTGATGGTGCTCCATACTCACCCCATCCGAGGGCATTCCTCGCTCGGATGCGAAAACTATAGGGTGTGCCCACGGCAAGACCCGGAACGTGCACGGACGAAAACTCAACCGGAATCGAGTTCGATACGGTGATCCAGGGAGCCGTCGGGTCCGTTTCGGCACCCGAAAGCAGATTTGACGCGACGCGCTCGCGCATCGCTTGACGCTGAAGTTCGTACGTGAGCACAACAAAGCCATTGCAGCGTGGCGCGGACCACGCTACATCCATTGTTGTCTGAGATCGTGCGAGCATCCTGACATCAACGGGGCCCTCGGGTGCAGCACCTATGGGCTAGTGAGTGAAGGGAATTTCAGGTTCAAGCCACCCTCAGTGTAAAAGACCGGGCTGATTGCGCAGTTGGTGAGGGTCTCCCATGAAGGTTCACCAAGTGGTACAAAAGCATAATGCGGGCGCACTTGAAATTGGAATGCAGTGGCGGGCACAAGGCCTTGTACGCAGTAGCGCTGATCGTGCACGGTAGACGGCACCAAGAGCCAGTCTTGCGCGCCAACGAACCGGTACGAAAGCTCGTACATGTCAATGTCATATGGCGAGTAGGGCTTGGGCCATATCAATGTCAGCGATGTTGACGACCTCTCAACCATTTTAGGTGCGTCTAGGAAAAGTCTCGTCTCGTCGATGAGAATGAAAAAGCATACCGTTCGTGCAAATCCCATCACTTACGTCGCCAGCGTCCGACCACCCCAACGCATTGGCTGCCTTCAAGCGAAAAAAATAGACGCAACCTGGGGTGAGCCCTGATGCAACGAACTCGCGGAACCCGTCGCGTTTAAGAGCTAGCTTCGCTGGGTCGCCAACCCAGAGCTGCGTCCACGCGCCGTCTACCGCTTTGACGTCCATGAGAGACATCTATACGAACTCGGTATTTGGTGATGACTCGATGTGAGATAGAAGTACGAAAGCATCTGTCGTGCTAAGATTGATAGAGCCCGTGCGTTGAACGAGCACAACGAGTCTCTGGATCTCCAATCCATTGGGTTCTGGCACAGGTAGTAGCATCTACGTTTCAATATCTTGTGTCAGTCCACTTGCAGGAAACGGGGCGTTGACTTTGATGAATTTGTCGGCTACACTTGTCACACGCGGGGCTTTAGGAGCTGTAGGTACGGACGCTGCGAGACATTGATCAATACATTAATTCGCGGGTGACATCGTGCCGTACGTGCAGTCGTCGCGAAGAGGTTGGAACTGTCACGGCTCCAACCAGCAGCGTTGCCCGCTTGCACTGTAATGACGTATAACGTGGCGGGCACAAGGTTTCTCACGACCAAGTTGGCCTTGCTGCAGACAATGGTGCTCGGCTCCACCGCGGTCTCGAGTTTCCACTGAACTCTATACTGAAGGATGGGCGCAGGCGCGGTGGCTGATCGTCGGGTTGACGCGACACCGGGCTCCCAGCTCAAGTGCAAGTTTGAAGGCTCGCTCAAGACACATGCCAATCGCGCTGGCGGATACGGGACCCCTAGTATGTGTCATTTTCATCTACTCTAAGCTCAGTATGCTTCTGTGTGAACCCACCTTGAAGCATTGTTTGGATCGCCTCGGAAGGAAACTCTTGAGCGACATCGTACGGCAGCATTCGATCCTATACATGTATGAGACTAAGTTGATGCATACCATCCCAATCAAGCACACCTGGCCGGGAATTTTCGCGGCGTCGTGACGTAAGAGCTGCTCAACACACGCCTGGTTGCCAAACATGACGGCAGTGTGCAATGGGGTCGATTGTGTCTGCAAAGAAATGATAAAGGCACAAGAATGACGCACTACCGTTGCCAGGGCGTTTACGTCGGCACCTGCGCGGATGAGACGCGCCATGATACGGCCATCAGGTTGATTGGCAGCTGCATGCATTGCAGTGTATCCCAGTACCTATATCTCGGACGTCAAGGTTTTGCCAACGGTGTGCACGGCCAAACTGCTATCCAATATACCGTGTGGGTTCGGTCAATAGGAATCCCAGCGCGAACAAAGAGATCGACACGGCTCTCGAGACCTTCACCCGCAGACTCGATGAAGTCGTCGACAAGCCATTGCAGTGAAATAGGGTCATGCATGCGTTTGTGAATGCCCTCAAGTGTTAGAGGCAGCCTCTTGGTCTTCTCGAGTGGCGTTAGCGCCTTGTTTTGCTTGCGCTACACGCTGCGGTCAAGGAGACAAAGAGAAGGTTGGTATACCCGCTGCATGACCTTGCGCGGTTGGCGCGCAGCCTTTTCGTCCAGCACGATCTGACGCAGCATGTGCGTCGCCGACTTCGAGTTGGTGTCCATGAAATTCCAAAAATACCTTCGTCCTCGAGCGTCCCTTCACCGACGTTGGAGCAAGCTTGGAACCAATGATGACGTAATCGAGAGATCCGCAACAGGACGCCCGAGCACTGATTGGCTTATTTCGTCTGGTAACATTGGTAACATTGGCGGGGCTCAGTTTCGAATCGGCGGTCATGGTGGAGCTAAGCATGATCGTTGCTGTTGCGCGGGCCACAAACGGCATCGGCATCAAGGGCCAGCTGCCGTGGCGCCTCGCGGGCGACCTCAAGCGCTTTCGCGAGCTCACGACGTCGACGGCCGACGCAACCAAGCAGAACGCCGTCGTGATGGGCCGTAAAACTTGGGACTCGCTGCCACCCAAGCACCGCCCCCTACCCGGCCGCGTCAACGTCGTGCTCTCGCGCAATCCAGCAGTCCGCGCAGCGCTCTCGGCGCAGACAGGTGTTCTCGCCGCTGGCGACCTTGATGAAGCTCTTGGCGCTCTCACGGACGTCGAGCATGTTTTCATCATCGGCGGTCAAAGTTTGTATGAAGAAGCCGCACAGCACCCGCGCTGCACACGTGCGTATATCACGCTTGTTGATGGCGAGTACGAGTGTGACGCGTTCTTCCCCAAGTCGCTTGCATCATGCGGCTTCGTCGAAACGTCGGTGTCGCCGGCTCAAATTGAGAAGGACATTTTGTTTCAGTACACCCAGCTCGACCGCAAGCACGAGGAGCTGCAGTATCTCGAGCTCATTCAAAAAATTATCGATGAAGGTGTGCGCAAGGGCGACCGCACAGGCACGGGCACGATCTCGCTTTTTGGCGCACAGGTAGCTCTCCTTGTTTGACGTCGCTCGAAGTCTCATCTCAGTGTTTGCAGATGCGCTTCAACTTGCGCCATGACGTATTTCCCTTGCTGACGACGAAACGCGTCTTCTGGAAAGGCGTCGCGGAGGAGCTGCTCTGGTTCATCAGCGGCAACACGAACGCCAAGACCCTCCAGGACAAGGGCATCAAAATTTGGGACGGCAACGGCTCACGCGAGTTCCTTGACAAGCACGTGGCAAAATATCTATGTGTCGATGATCTTCAATGTCATCGTGTAGGCTCGGTCTCACACACCGCGAAGCTGGTGACCTTGGGCCCGTTTACGGCTTTCAGTGGCGCCACTTTGGTGCGAAGTACGTCGACATGCGCACCGACTACACGGGTCAAGGTGTTGATCAGCTCGCGGACGTCATCAACAAGATCAAGCATTCACCGAACGACCGCCGGATTCTCCTCTCGGCGTGGAACCCGTCGGGTGCGTGCAACCTGGGTTGCATTTATATTCATGTGAACGGCAGACCTGGAGCTCATGGCACTACCGCCGTGTCACATGTTTTGCCAGTTTTATGTCGCGAACGGTGAGCTTTCATGCCAGGTACATTTTGCGACGCATTCTTGCTGTGGGGTCAAAAGAGTGTTTCATAGATGTACCAACGATCGGCTGACATGGGTCTTGGTGTACCCTTCAATATCGCGAGCTACGCACTATTGACGCGCATGATTGCGCAGGTGTGTGGCCTGAAAGCTGGTGATTTCATCCACGTGATTGGCGACGCACATGTATACACGAACCACGTCGAGCCGCTTGAAGAGCAGTTGAAGCGGACGCCCACTGCGTTCCCGACGCTCAAGATTAACCCGGCCAAGATGGACATCGACAATTTTACATTCGATGACTTTACGATTGAAGGCTACAAACCCCAGAAGACGATCAAGATGGAAATGGCCATCTAGAAAAGCTAAACGAAACGGGACCTGAAATGATGTACTTCGACATCCTGGAATTTAAATCTGTGAATCCATTACACTGAACGTCCTGACTAACAATATCGTGGGACCAGACTCCTTCCCCCGCAGGGTAGAGAAAGCGGCAGCAATGCACAACTCTACCAGGTTGCTTGTGTATATTGTGCGTAGCTCGCTGCTCAAACAGTTGGTATTGTATTTTAGCCGCAAGACCACGAGGTACCGGTTAGCCCGCTACACACTAGGACCGCTTGGCGTCGCGCACCTTGTCGTAGGCAGCAGCCAGAAGTGCTGGGCCGAGACCGAGGAGGTATACAAAGGCGTAGGCGAAGAATGTACCAGCGTGCACCGGGTGGTCCATATCCAACATTGCCTTGGCCCAAATGTGCTCATAATAGTGCGCGACGACACCCAGCGAGACCAAGAGGTGCACGGCGCCTCCAACTTGAACCTTGAGTGGTGCTGCACAGAGGAGGAAGAGAACGCTTGTGCCAGAGTGCACAAGGAAGAATCCGAGCGTTAAGAGCTGCAAGAGAATGTAACCACTGGGGCTGCTCGTCTGGAGACTGCGAAGGACGTCAGTATCAAGCACGACAGACGACGCTCCAACGGCCCCAAAGAAGCACATGGCGAGGAAATTGAGGACAAGGACGACGTGTTGCGCTTGGATGCGACGCTGGAGGCTGCGAACGAAGATCGCGACGACGTATACTGGTGGTGCCATGAGCACGCCGACAACGACGACAGTTGCGGATGTCGCATGCGAGTCCCCAACGATCGGTGCAACGTTCGAGCGGATGTTTTCGTGTGACTGTAGTAGCGCGTTCTTGCCTTGAGCAACAGCAGCAGCGACGTCTTCAGGCACGCGAATGACGGAACGGGCCTTGGCAAGTGCAGCTTTGAGCTCTGGACGCATCTCGCCTAGTTCGTTGCTGCGCGCCGCGAGGTAGTCGGCAAGCATTGGATGGGCAAGGTGGTCAAGTGCTTCGTCGTGAATCGCTCCCAACGCCTTGTGCTCGTCTTTCTACAAGCCCCCATGTTACAGGGATCATTCACCGATGGTACATACAAGCTGTTCGTAGGAGGCCAGCATCTCGATGACGTCGTCACGATATTTCATGACATCTTGTTGCAAAGAGAGGCCCCGTGCAATCTCTTTGGCAAGTTCTGACTTCAGCAGGTCGACGGCCTCCTGGTGCTCGCGCAGCTCTGCTGACAGTGTAGCCTGGGCGGCCTTGTGAACGCCAACCTCTTTCTCTGCACTTTCACGTCTCTCAACTTCCTGTGCGAGAGCTGTGATGTGCAGTCGCTTGTACTCCGTGAGCGCTTGCTGAGCCTTTACAGATGAGCGCGCCTCTTCTAAGAGCTTTGTTTCGGCCATTTGGGCCAACTCATCGGCTCGTTTGACTATAGTGGCAAAATTTTCTTGCATTCGCGACGAAAGAGAGCGAAGCGCACCTTTGCCCGTGAGATCCTTGATTTCTTCTATACGAAGATCCGACGCAGTCTCACAAGCCATCACTGCGCTTTGGGTAGTGACGAGTCGATCGGTGAGCGTCGCGATTTGGGCGATGTCTTCAGGAAGCGAAGCACACACGAGTGTGGGCACGACGCCGCCTTCAATACCGACTGCAGCTTCATCAGCCACTGCCGTCAAGACACGAAGCCAAACAAGCGTGGCACCAAGGACGCGCATCGCAGAATCCCGAGGAGCTTCTACCAGCACCAGCCACGTTTCGGACAACGCCCACCGTTCAACGCTCAAGATCGGTTTCAGAATAGGCGTATAATGGCAACGGTTTTTGCCTATTGATGTGTCGCGTTCCCTTGGCGATGAGCTTTCCCGATGGTGTATTTGTACGTGTAGCAATATAACCGCATCGTCCTCTGCGCATCGTCCTCCGAGCTCGTCACCTGCGCAACCATTCCTGCCGTCTCCTGGGTGCACTCGTGCGCTTTACCCTGTTGTTACCGGTTTGAGTGTGCATAACGTCGCCACCCAGCAGCCCCTGCCGTCCAGATTGTGTTCTCACGACGCAGACGCGCGTATTCTCTGGTCACTTATCACTTGCTTTATGGGTATTGTGCGCCTCAGGCTGCTGAGTAAATATTCATACACACGCTGTGGCATGATATCGCTCTACCAGTTCGTGGATGTCCGAAACTCTACGTCCCTTAAATGAAAGTACTTCATACAAGAGATAGCGAGAGGCCGGTTGCTTAGCGAGTCGAGGGGCTTTAATCCTCTCCTCCTTCAATGTCGCTTCATTATCAAGACAAATGCGAATGGTTCAAGTCGCACCGACTAAATTGATGAAGCCAATGCATACGTTTCTACTACTACACACGGAAATGCAAATCTCGGACTGATTGGAAACGTAGCGAAATGCCAACAACGGAGGACCACCAGATCCACCAGCTGCTAACTCAGACAGTATTTCAGGGCGAAATTCTTAATGGTGTGAGAGCTTAAACGAACCAATCAGAGCGCACTGTCATATCACCATTTTGCAAGATGGACGGGACGACGGAGAAGCGGTGGCTGACCGACGGCGAGAAGGACGGCGAGCATATTGCGATCGTGAGCTACCCGCGCTCAGGCAACTCGCTTATGCGTGGTCTTCTCGAGAGTGTCACAGGCATCTACACGGGCTGCGACACCCAGCCCGACCGCAGCCTGAGTCTCGAGCTCCAAAACTATGGCATGAAGGGCGAGGTACCAACAAAACTGTGTTCGCCTGCGTCAACTCAACGTGCAAACACAGGGAGTCGTCGACGAGTCTGTTTGGTTCGTCAAGTCTCATTACCCTGAACGATCTGGCTACAAGCCCGTGGCCGTGCACAAGGCGATTCTTGTCGTGCGCAACCCGTGGGATGCAATCAACTCGTACTTCAACATGACGTTGACCAACAGCCACAACAAGAGCGTTCACGACTCACAGTACGATCGCTTCGCGGAGCGCTGGGACAAGATGATCCAGAACGAAATCCAAGTTTGGATCCGGTTTCACCAGTATTGGACAACACGCGTCGACATACCGATCATGGTCGTGCGCTACGAAGACCTCATGGTCAACCGGTAGGTTACACAGAGGCGTGACAAAGTATTTCCTCGGCTCATAACGTCGTGATGTACGCTAGGCGAGAGTCGCTACACCGAGTGTGTAAATTCATTCTTGGAAAGGAGCCGAAGGACTCGCTTTGGGTACGATGCGACTTGCGGTGTTGATGACCGAAGGACATGACGAAATTGATGCTCAAAATCGTATAGGATACAGAGTGGGGTGAGCGAATCACATCCGTCATCGCGGCAGACGACGCAGGGCCGTACAAGCCACGCAGTGGCAAAATCAGCGCGTCCTTCCGGCACTACTCGCCGATCCAGTTCCAGGATGTTTTGACGACAGCGCGACCACTCCTACGCCAATTTGGCTACGACACAGAGACGCAGAATTTTCCCGAGACCATTCCCCTACCGAACCGTCAGGTGAAGCCCGGCAAGAGTGACGCCAAGCCGCTCATTCTGTCGGCCGACGGCCTCGAGCTGCGCGGCCGTAACGACTCTTTCGGCCGGCTCTCGACGTGGTTTCGCAAAACGCTACTGGATCCAGTGGTTGCAAGCGATGGCACAGAGCTCAACATGGACGAGGTGCTCGCCGCTCGCGACCGGAAGCGCCAGAGAGGCGAAATGGACGTGCTATTGGCCAAAAAGGCTGAACATAAAGAATTGTAGATACATGCAGTGCTTTCATTTGTGGGAAACAAGCCAATCAGACACGTAGAATGCGTACCCATCTCAGGTTGGATGCTCAGATTGGCCGCCGACCAGCCAGTAAGCGAGGACGCAGAAAGATCTGCAGCTGGCAAGAAGTATTTCCAATTCGGACGGGGAAGATATGGAAGGACAGCGGATCCGCAGCTTCTCGCTGGACGCCGACGAGCAGTCCCACGCGTACACGCCGTTCTTGCCTGTGAGCACCGCGACCCCAAACCGTCTCGGCACATTCAACGTATGTACTATGACGCCCTCTCGACTAGTGACGTTGGGTAGGGTGTTTACGTGCCCTGCCTCCTCAACATCATCGGCGTCATCTTGTTCCTGCGCCTCGGCTGGGCAATTGGCCAAGCGGGTGTACTCGGTATGCTTGGTATTTTTGTCATCGCTGAGGCGCAGGCTGTGCTCACCGTTCTTGCGGCGAGCGCGATTGCAAGCAACGGCAGCATGCGCGGTGGCGGCTCATACTATCTCATCAGGTTTTGTCGATCTAACTGGCAGGTGTGAAGGGACCTTACATGTATTTAGTCGATCGCTGGGGCCTGAATTTGGCGGCGCCATCGGGCTGCAATTCTACCTCTTGTATGCATCCGGCGTAGCCATGTATCTGGTCGGCCTCGCAGAAGAAGTACAACAAACGTGGCTTGTGCATGCTTCGTGGGAAAAGCATCACATCATCATTTCTGTCGCTGCCATTGCTCTGCTTTCGACAACTGCGATCGCTCTCCTCGGCGCGCATGCATTCGCCAAGGTTAATCAGTACCTCTTTGGCGTTCAGTTTGCCTGTATTGCCTATGGCGCGGTACGATGCCTATATCGTTATCATCACTACTCACGATTGTGACGTGCTAGGTGGAGATTTGCCTCACAAAACCACATTCCTTGGCAAGCGGTGGGCGCGTCACGGGTCCATCGATGAACACGATGCGGGACAATCTATATGCCAACTACACAAATGAGCGCAATGCTTGTGGGCTCGGTCAAACGTGCAACTTTGGCGCTGTCTTTGGTATTGTTCAAGCACAAAATCATGTCCCCATAACTAAAATGGCGACGCCACGTAGCTGTCGTCTTCCCGCTCGCCACTGGATTCATGGAAGGTCTCAACCTATCCGGTGACCTCAAACATCCAGGTACAGACAGACCTGTACATTTTACAGCTCAACCATAATGATCGTCGATGTAGGCAAAAGTATCCCTGTTGGCAGCTTGGCAGCAATTGGAACGGCGTGTGTCGTCTACGTCTCGCTCATTTTTCTCTTCGGGAGCTCGTTTCCTGGCGCGACGTTGCGGACAAACTATACCTTTTTTCAAGAAGTGAGTGCCTCGCCGATTGTCGTCGTCACGGGGCTTCTCGTGTCATGCTACACGTCTGGGCTCGGTGCACTTTTTGGTGCCTCGCGTATTCTCCAGGCAATCGCCCGGGACTCACTATTTCCTGGTTTTCCCATCTCCGCCGTGTCACATATAACGGAATGCACGTGCGTTAGGTATGCGCTGGCTCAAGCAAGGCTCGGCCGTCGGCGATGAGCCTCAAGCCGCAGTCCTCTGCACGACACTTCTCTCGTTTCTCTTTATTTTGATCGGCGACCTCGACGTGCTTGCTCCAATTTGCACGTCGTTTTTTTGCCTCGCGTACGCTGCAGTAAACTTTACGGCCTTTGCTTTGCAGATCTCTGGCGTTCCCAACTTCCGTCCGACATTTCGTGGCAGCGCGTGGCCGCTTTCCCTCGCGGGTGTCGCCTTGAACCTCGGAGTGATGGTCTATCTTAACGCGCTCTATGCGGCCGAAACGCTTCTCGTCCTGAGCGTCCTTTTTGGCTACCTCTACATTGTGTCGCCGTCGGTCGCCGTCGGCTGGGGCAGCCTCTCGCAAGCTCTCTTGTATCACCAGGTACGCAAGTATTTGTTGCGGCTGGACAGCCGGAAAGACCACTGTAAGTACTGGCGCCCGTCGCTGCTCCATGTGCCCGCCAGTATGTCGGCGCACAGCGTCTTTTTTTGCAATTGGCTGAAGAAAGGCGGTCTCTATCTGGTCGGTGACATTGAATTTGGTGCTGTCACCATGTCTACCGTGGCGACAACCCGGAACAAGTACATGCAATGGCTCGCGTACCTTGAGACGCACCACATCAAGGCAATTCCACGGGTACCTTGAACAAAATCGTTCACTTCTTATCGCTCTGGGAATAGGTGCTTGTCGCCCCGTCGTTGCGGGATGGATACCGCAGCCTTCTACAGCTTGGCGGTCTCGGCGGCATGGACGTCAACACACTTGTGTTGGACTGGACACTGGTACAAAAGCAGCACTCTGGCAAATTAATGAGCAACAGTGGCGTAGGGACCGGATCTCGCCGCAGTAATGTCAGATGCACTCGTCTTGCAGAAGAATGTGGTGGTCCTGCGCCATGGCGATCGACATTCGCTACTCAACGAAAAATCGCCGCGTGCCATGACGATCGACGTATGGCTCATGACGGACGATGCACTGCAGCACGTAACGCTTATGCTGCAACTGGCGCATGTGCTCAAGGCAGCCGCGCCGTGGAAGCGGGCGTCGATCCGCCTCCTGCGCGTCGGTGGTGATGACAGCCAACGGGCGCTTTTGGACCTTGCTGACGACTTGCGCATTGATGTCGGTCCCGAAAACGCGATCGTGCTGCCTCGCGGCCCCACGCAAGACTTACAGCACGTCATTCTTGCGCACTCGAGCAATGCGGGTCTTGTCTTGCTCGCGCTGCCCTCACAAGGGCTTGCGACGAGCATGGATGCAGTCCTCGGAACGATGGACGCTGTCACTGTCAACCTGCCTCCTACGATGCTGGTTCACTGCGCCCAGGAAAATGGTGTCATAACGACGTGCATCTAGCCCAACATGCACGCAGAATCGAGTGTTAGTGAAATACGTACGTATGACTTTTCGCTTGTTATGTCAATGTAGCGGTCGACCTGTACGTGTGCACCTACATCATATGCAAGGGCTCGTCCTTAGGCGCTGCCTCCATGAAGACACGGGCGACAACACCCAGCATCGAGAAGCCGAATGCCATGCCAATGCCCCAGAGAAAGCTCTAGAATCGCAACATGTGACCCTGTCTACATGCGACGAACATCCTTACCGACTTGAGTTCTTGGCCCATCGTTGGTGGCTGGGGGATCTCTGTTGGCGTTTGTAAGTGCTCAGCAGGCGCAGACACCTCGGGTGCGACCTCGAGTGCGTCACGCTTCTCCGTCTTGCGTCGGGACGCGGACGCAGGTCGGCGTGCGGGCAGCGGTCGCCGGCCGACGCTCGAGCTTACCATTCGACGCAGCATGATTGATTCCCTGCCAACTCGACTCGTGGTTTGTTGTTTTTTATTTATCCGAACGTGTGGGTCAAAATCCATACTATTAATAGTACTTTTTCAGCTTCGATTATAATATAATCGAAGCACGAAGCTCGAGCAGTTATAGAAAAATATTATTTTTCTATAACTTTTAAAATATGTTGGGTCTCATGTATTTTAAACGTTTTGGAAAACATTATCGAAGTATTAATACATGCTCTCCTCGGGAAAAAATTCAAAATTAATTGTGCACACAATCAATTTTGAAAAGTGAAGCGAAATTGTCAAATAACGTTAGGACGACGTAGCCCAGTGCGTCGTTGCTGTGCGCAGTGGCTGATTCTAAAAATCGTTCTCGATCACGAGATATGCAGTAAAAATGGATTTGACCCTGTCGCACGGGTACGCTGAAAATATACATACCATACAAAACCTTTAGTACGCAGTGGCGTGAAGCTAAAAACGCGCTGGCTTGCTTAATCGTCCCAATCGGAGTCGTCATCGTCGGCGTCATCATACTGGGTCACGTTGAGGCGGCTTGCCATAGCATTCGCGATGCTGTCATGGATGCTTGGCGCTGTTGCGAGTGGTGGGCGTGGAGCTACGGGAATTGGCGTTGGGAGAGCGGCAACGGGACGCGATGATGGGGCAGCGTTGTTTACTGTGGGCGCGGGTGGTTGGTTGCCGTCGACGGACTTGAGATGGGCGCCCATTCGAATGGCAGCAAGAAGATCTCCGCGTCCAGCACCACCAAATGGGCTTGGACGGGGTTGTGTAGGCGAGGGTGCAGTCGATAGAGCATTGGGTGCCGATGCAAGGATCTCGCGGTGCGATGGCCGACGCTGCGGCGGTTGTGCCACTGGCAGCTCCGATCGCTGCGAGGCTGGCCGCGTTATCTTGGTCGCGTTAAAAACAGGCTCTGTTTCAACGGACACAATGGACACTTCGTCGTCGTCGTCCGAGCTTGCATCATCAAAGAGGTTGCGGCTTGACACCTTCGTCGCGCGCGTTGGAGCTTGGAAACTCGCAGTGGTCGCCGTAACAGTTACGACACCGGCGAGAAGGCTTGACGCCCACTCGGGTGGGAACGCGAACGTTGAATGGAAGGCAGTGTGCTGCACGAGGCCGGGCACCGCCAGGAGGCCTTGGAGATACTGCGTTATCTCAACTGCGCGCTTCTGCATCAAATCCGGTTTCGTTGGGTTCCGAAGCACATGCTTGGACGGAAACTTGGGTAATGTAGCACTGTGCGCCTTGAGTGTTTGGTGCATGGCTTCAAGCTCATGGAATGCAAGCCCGAGACGCCGGCACCATGTATGAAGACGAAACTCAAACGTGTAGATGGCCATGGTCTTCCCACCACGCGTCTCAACGGCGCTCGCTACGTACCCCACCGACAGAACGGCAGGGACGTTCGATGGTGCATGCTCGATGGCACGTGCAGCGGACATTTCCTCGTTCTCTTCATCGTCGCCTACAAAGGTCGCGATTCAAAACAATTGGCGTCCAATGTGCTGGGTCGTACCAGAGACAGATTTAGTACCAACCGTGGGTACGATTTTGTGGGCTTTGATCGATTGGCGAGAGACAAGCGCGTCGGTATCATCGTCGTGATCGTCGTCATCGTCGCTGCTGTCGAAGAGACCCTTGCGCTCCGGGTGAAGCTTGTTGGACGAGAGCGCGCGTGTCAACAGCTCCTTCCCCTCGGCGCTGAGCTGCGACTGCCGTGACCGCGACGGCCGCTCGCTATCGACGCTGTACTTGCGGTTGCGTTTGATGGCATCGAGGGCTGCTGCCATCGGATTCGTCGGCCGCGACACGAAGTCTGTGGACGCCGGCGTTTGCTTCGGTGGCGGTGGAGGTGGCGGAACGAACCCGCCGCGTAACTTTGTTGTGACGACAACGTTTTCTTCAGAAACACCAGAGACAGACGCATCGTCATCATTGACGACCGAGTCTTGCGACGAAACGGACCCCGTGGAAGCGTCCCGGAGGGGCTTCGGGTCTTTCGTGGACACGAAATCTACAAGGCAATGTGTGAGATGAACGAAATAGCTGCCAACTAATGTACACTGGCCCGGTGGGGGGAGGTCAAATCTGAACTTCGACTTGCGGGGTACCGCGTCTGGAAGAAGCGGTGGCACGGTGGCGTCGAGTGACTTGCCGCCTGCCATCATTTCGAGGCGCCGACGTTGCGCCTCCTTCCCGACGCGCCCTTGCGCGACCTTCTTGTTGAGTCGTTTCTTACGCTCTCGCAAGAGCTTCTCCGTCTCTTCGTCGAGCGTGCCAAGACCGTCCTTGCGCTGCAGCGGCGTCATCTCTTCGATTTCCCGCTCGCGGTCGAGGAGCTCTTGTTTCTTCTGCGCTACCCACTGTCGCTTTCGCGCTTCTTCGCGGTCCTTGATCTCTTGCTCCTTCTCGTGCTGCTTGCGGATCTCGCGCTTCACTTTGCGTCGCTCGCGCTTAATCTCGTTCGCCGCCTCGGAGGTTGGGTCAAGAACGGCGATTAGTGCCCGGCACCAGCGCTCGAGGTCCAGCCGGTTTTCGGCCGCAACGTACAGCGAGCGCTTATCCTTGAGCTGGAGCTCCAGGCCGTAGGAGTCCAGTGGCAACACCCCGAGACCTTCCCACTGGCAAAAGCCACGGACCGAGTACGTTGTGGCACCAGCACCATGGCTGGCGGTGGACTCGGGCGCAAACATACGCAGCTGGGAGGACCAGGAAAGCTGACAGAACTGCACCTGGAGCACACCGGCGGCAGGCGGCAGCCATTGTAGGTACCCCTCGTGCACAGGCTGCTTCTTATCCATCGTCGTCAGCGTAAGATGTGAAGGCAATTTCAGTCCGGATACGATGCGGAACTTACGTCAACACCGCAAATAGTGTTGCTTCTCGTTTGTTGTGATTTTGCGTCGAAAGCTCCGTGTTTTTTCCAATAGAGAGATTTTTCTAACAAGAATTCTACTTGCATTTCGACTTCCGTAAAAAAAGAGCCGGTTCGTGGAATGCTGGAAGTGGGTCGCGGTTTTTGTAAACGTGATATTTGACATGAGAGGTCATTGATGAGAGGTCGTACATTTTTTAGTTATATTTAAAAGAAAAAGTGTGCATCCGATTTCGGGATCAAGGTCCGGATGCTGAATTGTTTGGTCTACATTTCAGGACTAGACCCCGCCGGAATGTCTCTTCCAAGTCTGATTTTAGAATTCTTGTTGTCAAAATCACTGTATTAGAGTGATTTTGCCGTGATGCGTGGATTGGATTGATAAAAATGCATCATTTTGAGGGCGTTGAGCTGGGCGTTATGATTCCTCGTACAACTACAGAGGGCAATTTTTACGGGCGGCGATTTGGCAAAAACACACTTAAATAGTGTGCGGTCTCTAAATTATATTTTATTAGCCTGACCGTGGGGATTTGTAAATAGTGTTAGACCAAAACCAAAACTTTATGAGGAACGATGAACACTACATGTATGATGCATCTCCAAAGGGGAGCTACATCGCTGCCAACTCCACGTGAGACTTACCTTCTATTGGGTACGGTGGCCGCAGTCAAGAGGCAAATTCCGTAAGGGACTGGACGCTTACAAATGAGCATTTCTCGATGGACGTAAAAAGTAGGGAACGACAATGCGCAAGCCAAGCGAGTCGCGACGACCAAGGAGGAGGTGCGTCAAAGAAAGAACAGAAAACGCCCAAAAACAAACCGAGAACCACAAAAACAAACTGATCGTAAAAATAAGGCACACACGGACCCACACGCATTGCCAGAAAATAAAACAATCCTAAAACAATCGAAGAGCGTAGACACCAAAGCCCACACCCGGGACCAGGGAACCAACCCCCAGTGACAAAGACCCAAAAGAACCCTGCGATACATCGAGCCCAAACCCGAATGACCAACGAAGACCACCCTAACGGCGCGTAAACCTGACGCAACACAAAAAAAACGCGAAAATGCCACAACAAAACCAAGCCACCTCGATACACACCCAGCACATAATAAAACGAGTACAAACCCCGAGAGAGACCCAAAAAAACCGAGCCGAGCGCCAGGGCGCCAAGCTACACCAAGGCGAGCACGACAACAGCGCACGAACGACAGCCAGAAGACACGAGCGAGCAATTGACCCGTTGGTCATGAGCAAGATTATCCTTGAGACCCCAAAAGGGTAGTTCTCTCTGCTATGCTATGCATATTTCTTTCAGCACGAAGGCTTCGCGCGGCCCTTGCCTTTGGGAGAATGCTTGGCACGGCCTTTGACGTTCGGAGGAGGCATGGCGCGGCCCTTACCTCCGGATGCACGCTGCGTTGGTACTAAGCCCGAATCAAAATCAAGGTCCAGGTCTAAGTCGCGGTCCAAGTCAAGCTGGTGCTGCAGAGATGGGGACATCGCACGACCGTTCCTTCTTTGCGGACGAAAGAGATTGGGACCCGACGCCGGACACAGGTTATCCGCAAGCGGGGTTCGGCAGCCGGCGCTTCTCTTCGTTCTGCTGGCAAGAAACGCCCCACGACCACCTCGTTACCCGTTTCCAGGTGAAGCGAGGAATCTAGTTCATAACAGGGAGCAGCTCGGGGGAAACTATTGGCCACCTGTTGCATTCATGGATGAGCATACATAGTGCACACGTGCCTCACGAATAATGAAGCGTACTCCGATCGTGGTGAAAATTTATGCGCTCACCAAGTTTGCTGTTCAAGAGATGCGATGGCATATCGATCCTAATTCACTGTGCCATCAGACATAGTACTCTATACTTGCGAAGACCCAAAGTAGAGAGCAAACATATACTTCCGAAAAACTCGTCGTCAAACTGTACGACAAAACTGGACCAATCACCGGCGACTCGAATCGTGTTTGCGTAGTGGACCGACTGTTATGGTGAGTGGCTCGCAGCTGGAACGCGTATTCTTTTCGCAAGCCGAGCTCAGACTGTGTAAAACACGAAGGCGCAGTTTTCCGGGGCCTGCATTGACAGAATGCACATTGGTGTGAAGCAGCGAGGAGCTGTTGACTTCGTTGTCCTGGACTCGGAGGCGACGACAGACGCGAATCCTTGCGGTAGCCTGTTGCATCAGCAGTGCCTAGATTCAGGAGCAGCCGTGACAGGTCGGACGCTGGCAGCATGATAAGCGAGTCCGCATCATCGTCCCAATACTAACGTGGAGGCGGGGACTTTGCTGGACGAAGCGGAATTGCCTCACAGCTCGTTTGTTGTCAGCGACTCGAATACACGTCGTGCATACTGACACATCAAGCTCTCAGGCGTTCTCGAGTCCGTACTCAAGCTGGAGTTGCGCCTTCTTTGCGGCATACTCAAGTGTCGCAGGTGGTGGCAGTCAAACTACCTCCGGTGTGGTACAGAGCTGCTCAACGGCACAGTGTCGAATCGCGTTCGATCACCGAACTGTTCCTTTGGAGGCGAAGCATGCAGCCGAGGTGGATACTACTTCCGAGATGAAATCGCAGAAGATGCGAGGACACCAGCCCTACCAAAATCGAGCGCACTAAACCTTTGATGCGCTTCGCTAAGCTTGGTCGGCTGGCGTCGTTCATTTTCGGCTGCAGTTGCCTTGGCGCACTTTTCTTTCGTCTGCTGGCCCAAGCCACTGACTCTCCGCTTCACGAAGACGTTTCCTTCTCGTACAACGCTTGCGCCTCGCATTCTTGCACTTTCGACGCAGCTCGTCGTTATTCGCTGCCAAGTTATATGGACATTTGGGCTCGGACAACAAATGCGAAAATACTAGATTTTTCGAGAACTAGTAGTAGCAAGAGGCCACTGCAATGCCAAGAAACCACGCCGGCGGATGTGCTGCACAGTGTGCTGCACACACATCACCACAGAGTATTTATTAACTATGTACGCGCACTCGTTTTGCTCGTAGGTCAGCTCAGTGGCCAAAGTGGCTTGAACACCTGTCGACCCACGAAGGAGGGTTGCTCAGATATCTGACCGTTTATATAATAGGGGAGAGAGACACCGACCGAGCACATAGAACCAACGCCGCACGGAGCGTAGTAACAGGCGAGAGCAGCGGAGGACCGGGAAGTGACAGGACTTTGTGATAGCAGTTCTTTAAAGTAAAGAGATCAGTGTCCACTCCCCTCGAGGGCACTAAGAACGGACGAACAGACCTGAGGCAAATTGGACTAGGCGGCAAAGCATAACTGACCCGAGCAAAGTGATCGCTTTCTTGTCGTATTGGCATCGAATTATATTTCTATATATATGAACGTGTTCCGCGTTATCTTCATTATGTCACAAAGACTCCGCATACGTAGCGCTACGCCGGAATGCGTGGGAGTTGGCTCCAGCACTTGGTCGTTGGGAGTGAGCTACGTACGGAGAGATTCATCCCTTGTTGGACCCCACTCGCCGAGTTATAGCTCGCGCGAGGTCGTATTTCTGCTACGCTATCTCAATGTTTTGTGCAGGACACCATCCTGTTTATAGTATGGCGTCTTTTCTCGTAAAGTTCAGTTTTTTCTTGGATTGTTTGTTGCTCTATTATTAGGCTTTAAACATTCTGTCCAGTCTATGGATGTACCGCCGTACGGAGCTCGTCACGAGTCACGGAGTTGCGTAGGCTAAATGCATTGGTCTAGGAAGTTTGATCATACACTGCGCAAAAAGCCGAACATAAATAGGTTTAGCTAAGCGAATATGTTTCGGCCTTTCTAGACTTAGAACCCGAAGCATTTGTGATTTTAACTGTGTTAACGAGATAGAGAATCGATAACTTGCTCAGAACTTTCCGACCACTCATTTGGTGTATACTTGTTTTCGTTCCGGAGAATCAACTTTTCCTGTATCTCGAATTGGACAAAATAGTTCCTGAGTACACCTTCTCAGAAGCTTGCTGTCGCGTATTAGCCCTATTAGCAAAGGAGGCGCTTGCTAAGCAATTTGAAACATGCTGTCATGGTGTAGTTACGACCGGCGGGTAGTTGAATTTCCGTGTCAGGCTAGCAAAGTGGGACCTACGTCTGCCCTGTAAGGCCAGACTGTGCCACAAGAAACGTGTTTTCAGATTTTTTGACTGACTTCAGATATTCTTGTTGTTTGTCGAAGGTTTTCTCTGATCTTCCGGCTACAAATCTATCCACACAATGCATAATGTTACATGCTATCAGTTCATAATATTACATGCTGTCAGTTTAAAGACAGCAACGATTTTATTGACATGCAACTAGATTCGTGTTCTACGCACGAAATTGGTTGCTTTGTTTATATGGTGCTCTCTCTTTTTGTGCGAGTCATTTCAGTATATGACACCATACAGGTGAGCAACGCACAGCTCTGGCGAACCTTATATATATTTTATCATTCTAACCAATACGAGTGTGGCTTATCCTAGTTCAGAAATGTTTTCAGAATGCGTACTGGCACAGTTTTATCAGGTATGTATTCAACAGGTTCTGGGTAGACAGAACTAAAAATCCTCTCGAGTGGTTTTATGCGGACGTCCGCGTGGAGAGCAATAAAATTGGGCTGTCCGGTGGCACTTATATGGCAGGGTTTTGAAGGTATTGTTTGGAGGCAGCAATACTGCGGAGACACTGCGAAGCTGACTAATAAATGCACAGCGTTCAAGGTAAGGCAATTCACTGGGGTCTGCATTCCTTTCT